AATAAAAAAAAAACTAATATTTCAAGTCTACATATCTTTTGAAATGGCTGCCAATCATGTGGCAGCTTTCGCTGCAATTTACCCACATTTGGCGACCTCTGACCTTTTGGCTTCCGAAGCATGATGTGCGATGCGCGCTAGATGCACGGCTGCCTCGTCTGCAATTGGTTTTTAATTTAACTAAAGTGCGCAGCACAGCAAAGAATAAAAAGGGGGAGGGGGGGGGGGTTGGGGTCAAATGGCAATGGGCAATGGACAGGGGATAGGGGAAAAGGGGGAATCGAGGGAATGGGAGTTGTCAAGGCGATTTAATGGCGTGCAATTCTAAGAAACGCAATGCGCGTAGTCCCAGCTCGCAGCTCCCATCTGCCGTGTCCTTCATTTCCAGCCATTGTCAGGCCGGGCACGCCATTGCCATTTCTGAATGTCCTCAGTGTATTTATGTGTGTGTGCGAGAGAGTGTGCTGGTGTGCGTGTGTGAATCAACAGGCCACGCGCGACACCATAAAACCGAAACAGAAAACGGAGGAGTATATGTATCTGTTAGATACAAAGGACAACGAGGTGTGTGAGGGGGGAGGGAGGGAGAGGGAGCGAGGGGGTCGATGGGTAAAAACAAGCGAACGAAACTTCGCACATAATGAGTTTTTATGGGCTGTGTGCGAGGGAGAGCCCGCTTTTATATAGCCTTCAGTTGTCCTGTGCATTGTGGCCAGGGACCCTGGTTTCCAGCTTCCAGATCCTGCCCCATCATCATCATCATCCCCGCCATCATCATCATCATCATCTCCTAATTGCGAATGCAGTCAGTCCCGTTGACAAAACAGTTCTTTCGACATTTTTTTCTGCGTGCACAACACACAAATCAGCGTAAAATTTGTCTACGGCCAAAGTTTTATGGAGCTGTAACTGCGACAAAGTGTGCTGCAGTCGTCGGGAAACTAAGGAAGCCGTCGCTTTGGAGCAAAAACCCAGGGAGCTAAGTAGATGGTTTACTGGGTAATAAACAGTGCAGGGCACCAGGACAATGTTACAGATGCACGGGAAAACTCCTATCCTGCCAGCTGCTCTCCACACACTGAAAAAAACTATTTTAAAATCGAAAAGGTTATAATAGCTAAACAGAAAACATTTTTTATTTTCTAGAAAGATTGTGAAAGCTGCTCTCCATACACTGCAATTACTATTTCAAAATCGAATGATAATAATACCTAAAACAGCTAGAAAGCATTTTTTTTTTCTAAAATTATTGTGAAAATTTATAACTTATAAAACGTTTTCCAACTTTTTTACTGGTGGAATAAAACTTGAATGTTTTAACATTGATTACTTCTGTGTCAAAGATTTTATAAACATTCAATGCTGACTATATTTTCTTAAGGATTGTATAATCTGATCTGATTAAAAAAAGTACTTAACAAATTTGTAATCATAGAAATTTGATAAATTTTTGGAGTAGTCTATATCTCCTCCTTCAATTTTCTTCAAAGAATTTAAGTGGTTTCTTCTTGATGGTTGGAATACATTTTTGTAATATAGCTGAATAATAAACCTTTAATAATTTTTTTAAGACTTAAGTTTTAAGGGTTCAGTTTTAATACACCTATTTGATCCCTTAATGAGCTGCTGATCTTGAGAGAAATGAAAAACTTTACGGCTTTTGTTTCCGCTCAGTGCCGTTAATGCTTGGAAAACTCCAGCCATTTTCCGCCCGAGTGGCTGAATCATGACTCCGGCGTAACCGAAAACCGAGTGGATCAGCAGCGGATTCACCTGGCTCAGATGTCCAGTTCGTAACTTTCTCCACTGAAGAGTTCAAGATCCCGCACATGGAATTACATTGGAAAATGCGACTGGGGAATGGAGAACGGGGGCGTGTTGCAGTGGGCGTTGATGATGTTGAGCAACTGCTCATTAGCGTGGCTCACACGAAGCTATTAATTCAATTATTTACACTGTTTCTGGCAGCTGACAAGCCCCGCACCCATTTCCATTCCCATTCCAATTCCCATTTCCATCGCCCATCTCGTGTCTTGTTCCGGGAAACTGTTGCTCGTCGCCCGAGGAAATTTCCTCCCCCTCCTTTGGGGAAAATTGGGGTGCAGAAAAGCGGGTTGTGGACTTAATTATGCATATTAAGCTGAGTGTAATTTGCGTTGTGAAAGGGTCCCAGTGCCGAAATCGAACCAAAATAGTCTGCAGTCGGCAGTCTGCAATGCAGTTGGCCCGAAACAGCTGCAATTTAGGTAGTAGATAATAGGGGATTTATGCAACACCAGAGGGGCGTGGCATGGGCGTGGCAGAAGTGGGCGACATCGGTGAGCATTTCATTAGCTGCGCATTTACATTTCATTGCACCCAATTTGTGCTGTCGCGTCAACAGTTGCCAATTCCTTCGTCCTCGTCCTCGTCCCCAGTGAATCCCCACCCAGCGGGGAATCCCTCCCCCCGAAATGTGTGCGTGCGTGTAATTTAATTCGACGGTCGTGCCATAAAAATGAAATGCACAACGTGATGTGCAAGGACAAACAGGATGTGTCCATAGATCCACGCATTTTGCAAATAACTTTATCTACTCCGCACATGTAAATGTTAAGGCGAAGCGGAAAGCAGGCAACAAAAATCGGGTTAATAGTTGAGGCCTGGCCGGGCCGAAAAGCTAATCAAAGCCAAGGGCATTTCGTGTCGTTTCCTTTTTCTTGTTTTCGGGCCCAAAAATAGGGAGTGTGTCGCCCCTGTCGAAGGTCCTGTTGCCGTGGCTAAAAATAGATTCCAGGCTTCTTCCGCAAGGACATGCGAATTGTTGTTATGTAAATAATCCATCGAATGTTAGAAATTGAGACGTTGTGCCTTCAAAAGTATTTGAGGTTTTATTTTAAGATATTTACTGGCTTTAGAGCGGTTTCTTGCAGATTGAATGTTTAATATAAATGATTAAAAGAAAATGTAACCTAATTTGATATTTAATTAGTTTAATACTTGGCTTTATTCTGCATTATTAACTAAAGATTTCCAATAGTAAGGATTTCATAACACTGAACAGAATAAACAAAGGTTTCCCCTTTTGAAATAAATATAATAGCAATGTCAAAAATAAACACTAGTTATTTAATTGGCTCTCTACTGCATTTTGAAATAAGTTTCCTTTATAGAATTCCACTATAGGCACTCAAGTTTCCCTTTTGAAGGTCAATAATATATTTTTTATGCAGAGTATTTTATATTCGTTGAGTTAAAAGGTTTTCCCTGTTTTCATGAAAGTCACAACGTGTCCTTGGCAAATCCTTGGCACAATGAGACAGCTGAGTCCTGCCTCCTCGGCACACCACCCCTCCCCTCCCCACCCCCTTTTTCCACCAGTTACTCCAACTGCATCTGCTGCTGTTGCTGTTAATTATCCTGCCGTCGTGCTTATTACCTTAATGCCGGGTTGCGCGTCGCATTGAGTGCGCCACAAGCAGCCTGCAATTGCCCGGACAATGCCATCATGCCATCCGGCCATCCGACCGATACGGATACGATGTGGACGGGATACGTGCCACGGATGGCGGCCACAGGACTCGGCACTCTTATCCTCGTGTAATTGCCAGGCAGCAAATGGCCAATGTCAATTCTGGGGGCCCACTTCCCCACACTTCCCCACCCAAGAAAGCTAATTAAAGTGCACGCAAATTTGAATTATCTGCTGACTTTGTCGGCGCCGCAATCATTAATGTGCATTCAAGCAAATGGTGCGAAATCGAGAGATAACTTCATTCGATTTCGTGGCATTGCGTATACGCACTGTGGTAATTTAGCCAGTTAATCGTGGAGGATAAAGGCAAATAATCCCATTCAGGAAGCACATAACCTGAGGAGTATTGCGTTGGAGCTTCTTAGAAGTTAAATCAAGCAAGACGCGAGCAAACAGGATTTTAATATAGACCCCTCAAGGCCTTTAATGTTTTCAATTGAATAATGGGAAGCACTTAAGCTTAATGAAAAGGATAACTTAGTATTGGATAAATTGGGTTTTATTTGAATGGAACTTTATGCAAAGTTGGCAATGTTAAGGGAAGCACTAACAACTTGTTCAGAATATTGTATCTTCCTCAAGAATTCAAATTGATTCGTGGGAAACGTTCATAAAAAATAGTATGTACTTAAAAAGGTAAATTAAGTTTAAGTTGTTAAAGTCGTTGTCCTAAATGTAACTAATTATCAGTCCTGCAAAACCTTTCTTAACCAACGCTTGAAAAATTGGAAAGGTTTGGATGGTCTCTAACTAACTATTTATCTGAAGAGGTCTTTTTTTAAGTCATAACTTAAAATGATTACCTGCCAGGAGAAACCTTAGATACCAGAAATGTTGGTAAGGATATTAAAATGACTTACAATTTGCTAGATGGCCCCTTTCCACAGCCTTCGCTTGGAAATTTTTGTTGGTCTCAAGTGAATCAAAACCATACATTTTTCCTACTTGCGAATTTATATTCATTACCAAACCCTTTTCTTTCAGCAAGTTTTGCTTGGGTTTCCCCTTTAGACGGATTCCCCACACCCCCTCTCCACACATTTCCCCGGCTGCTTATTTATTTGTTTTCATTTTCATTTTCCCGGCTGGCTGCCAGGCAGTAAGCTCTGAAATACCAAACGCTGGCAAATCCGAAGCCAAATCCACAGTCAAGGGTTTCCTTTTGGTCTGGTTAAGCATAAGTTGACGACGTGCCTGCCGCAGGACCCTCTACGCCTGCCTCCCTTTTGGATTTTCTGCCTGGGCCCGACTATTTTTAGTGCCACTGATTTGTTTTGCCTAGTATTTGAGACCCTCCGTCGTCACTTGTGGTCTTGGCTTGGCACTTGAAGCGAGCCAAAACGGAAGAGGAACCGAGCGAGGGGCATATCTTAAAGTTACAACCGCCCGTGGCCTCTGAAACCGAAACCATATGCGGTATGGATCCCTTGTGCGGTTTTGGCCAGGATTAGGAAACGTCTGTCTGGAAATGTAGCTGTAGACTTACCTTGACGAAGTGGTAGAAGAGCACGGCTCCCACGGTGGCCAATGCGAACCAGACGAACACGGCGAAGGTGGAGATGCTGGAGATGTCCAGGGCGTGGAGCAGGTGGGAGGTCACGATGGCCGCCGCCTGGCACAACAGGAACGGCAGGGAGAGCCGCTCGAAGATGTCCCAGGGAATCTCGTGCGACTTCTGGGGCAAGGCCGAAATCGAGCCACGACGCAGCGAGGCACGACGTGAGGCACGGCGCTAATCGTGGGAAACAGATAGAACACACAATTAGTCATATACATATCGTGATTTAATTATTCATTTCATTTCAGCGCATTAACATTTCGGTTTTTGCTTTATAAATAGCCAGACAGTTTTGCTCTGCGTGGAGATGTTTGTTTTCGAGATATTTAAACAATTGCGGCACGTTGTTTGTTTGTGTTTTGATCGATAAACAAGGCGAATATGCAAATTATTGCACACACTTATTGTTTTTATTTCCAGCCAGAGAATTCTTAGATCCCAAAAAAAAGAGGTGTTTCTTATACTTGGCTTGGGTTTTCCGGAATTTAGAAAACATGTTGTAAACATTGCTTTCTCTATTAAGGCCCCCTGTGGTTTTAGTGTACCCAATTAAGGTAACTGTAATTGGCTGAATGAGCCCTGTAATGCATTTGTTATTCAACTTTTGTTTGGCAGAAATTCTTTCTAATGTTCACAGAAAGATTCTTTTGGCTGCCAAATAACAAAAGCTGATGAAAGTCTTTTGGGGATTGGAATTCATTCAATTTATTGACTCAAGACTTCCGTGTGCTTAACATTTTTAAAATCGATAATATTTCCACATGCGTGCCCTGCCCAATATTCCCCTTCAATGGGCGATGAAATGGACAGGCACATATTTGCCAACAATACATCATCGACCATTTCATTAAAGCTAACCAATTGCAACCACAGGATCCTGGACGTCCACAAGCACTTACATATGCTTGCATTTATCAGACCCTAACCCACACACATTGACATTGACGTATAGCAATTACACATGACGTGCACAATACTCTCGAAAAAGAGGGAAAGCCACTGGAAAATGGGGCAAAATGGGGCACAGTGATGGAGGAAGTGCCACCCACAACAGCCCCTTTTGGCCTTTGGCCATAAATCAACGACAGTGCGAAATAATCAAATGGTGGCATCTGCATAAATACAGAAGCCAATTGATTTATTCGGCCTGAAAATAAACCAATTCCATTTCGGTTTTGGTTTCTTGGCCTATTTTTTTTCCTCCTCGACGAAAATTGTAAAATCGACGGATCTATTTATACTACCTTGTGGGTATTAAAGGAAATCAACTATGTCATTTCGAATTGCTTTCGTCATCCGCGCGACCTTGCCACCGATTTTTGGGATTCAGTTGGCCCACAGATAAGTAATGTGACTAATTCATTCATTCTGTAAGTGCCGCAATAGTCTTACATATGGGTGAAATCCGCCTGCGACAATTTCGTGGTGATCTGTATATGCATTTGCCGGTTCAAATGTATTTATGTGAATACGCCTGACGATTTATGTACTTAATGGGGTCGCTCAGCTGCCAAGAAATCAGTATCTGGCGAATACTTATTGGCCTGTGTTTGGTTTGTCTCCAAGCTTATTTTTATTATTAATAAAGATATGGATATGTATTTTTAGATAATGCGAACGAATCAAATGGAATGGAAACTTCTCGCATTGCAAATATATTTCCTCTGGCCAAAGATAAAGATGTATCTCATTTTGAGGAATCCACTTTTATGGCAAATGTGGGGTCTGGAATGTCCATTATAGTTTCGCCTCAATGCCATGATTTCTATTTTGGAAATCGGACTATAATGAAGGTGTGTACTAAAATCATTTAGTTGCACTTTATGGCAGCCTGCTGACAGTAGAATTTTGACATGTCTCTTTTTTCGGAACACTTAAGTTTTCATTTTGCAAATTTCTAGTGGCCCGAACGTACGTTGACCCACTTGGATCGTGGCCATTAAGTGAATTTTTGTAATTAATTTGGCGGCCCGTTCCGTGCACCGCATGACTTCCTGACTGGCACTCTTTTCCCCCATTTCTACTTTACAAAAGGGTCTTCTTTTCTGCGGCCAAAATGGGCGTGGCTGAGCAAAAAGGAGCACTGTATAGCTGGAATTTGTGTATTGGCATTTCTGGGTTAAGCTAACTGGGCTAAGTGTGGCTAGGTATACACAACGTTGCGACAATAAATTTGGCCTGGGTAAACACGAGCACAAATGGCTTTTGGCCGGAGGGTAGATTTCACTTACCATATTGTTATCGAAGACCTGCATGACGGATGCTGCTGGCAGCTGGTTTCTCCAAAAATAAAAGGTTTATCGATGTGCTGGCAGGCTATTCACGGCACTCACTTTCCCAGGCGGGGAGTTCTAGTATTGCTAGTACTTCGAGTATTGCTAGTACTTCGAGTATTGCTAGTACTTCAAATAATACTAGTATTATTGGAATTTTTGGTATGTAAGGTATATGTTTCTTAGACTTTCCGTTAAGCGGTACGATTCGGGGGCCCGTGGCCTGGGCGCTCTGAGACACGACGTGGCACTAAGCGGTACGATCGAGTGCCGCTGCCTGCAACCGCCGAAAATGTTCGCTCGCCGATCTCTGCCGACGTCGGCGTCGACGTCGCTGTCGACGTCTGTTGCTGTATTTCAAAATGCTGCAGCGCAGCGGAATATTGTCGTTTTGATTTTTTAAAAATATATCTGAAGTATGTGCAGACATGCGTGTGCGAGATACATATTCCGCTATTCAGATAAATAAATATATTTAAATTTGTTGCTTCTGACTCTGCCCCACTGACGCCGCAGCATCGATGATTATTTTTCCACAACACAAAACCCACATTCGAAATACTCGACTATAGATACTTTTGTTGAGTTTCTATGAGTGAAATATATTTGCTGCTGGTACATTTGAATATTGCTTTAAAACGGCCCTACTTAAAATACACACTTTATGCGCATAATATGTATGGCAAACGACGCCTTTTTAACCCCGCGGCTTGATTTTGAATTTGGTTTTTTTATTTATATGTGACGTCACTGTTGTTGTTTACATACCCGTTTTTGTTAATTTGCAAATTGCATTTTTACTTTTTATTAGAGTACACAGCTTTCATTTTTGTTCTGTTTGTAAGCTGTATGCTGGGGGAAATTGGAAAATTGCATAAATAAACCATGGGCAAAAAGAGGGCCGGTGAATGTGGAAATTGCGGTGCCATGTGTGGGTAGTTGGGCCAAAAAATCATTCAACTTCAGCCGCGAGAAATGGCAAAATAAATGCAATAAAGGCCCATTTTCAATCTCGCTCATACAAACCTATAAAAAGGAGTAAATAAAAAAGTGTTGCACTAATGTTTACGTTCTAAAATAAAAATTTGAATGACTCAAATGAAAAATACAAAATATAATAACGAGTATATTTTCAAATCGGGTTAATTAAGTGTCCTTATGTGAGTTTAATGAAGCAAGATCTAAAAACATAATTTGTAATACAATATTTCAGCTATAAAATATATATATTTTATACTTTGTTGACTAGAAACAGAATAAAGGACCTCGATATTTAATTTTAAATAAACGTTGTATGCAAGTCTTGTTTTAGCCAAAATAAGAATGAGATATTCCTTAAAATAGCTACTTAATCTTTAAACCACTTTAAAGGATATTGGAAAGTCGAGATAAAAATGGCACACTAGTATAAATTATTTGCTTTAAATACTCAACTTTTTTTATGTTTTGATTTTATTGTTTATGCATGTTTGTGTCCAACAATATATTATTGTTATGCATAGAATTTGTTGAGTAGCTGCTCTGCATGAATATAGACAGTGCCATAAATTGACGTCTAAATTAAAGCTTTGTGGACATGGGTACATATACATCCGAATCTATAGTATGTATATACACTAGAATAAAGAAAAATATTTACCGCCGGAGCCAATGGAAGCATTTGCTTGTGCATCTATTCGATTTGGTTTTTCCTTTTTTTAATTTTTTTCAAAGGCGGCTGCGTTGTCAGTCAATGTAGCCAAATTAACAACCGAATGGTTGTTGCACGGTTTTTTTCGTGTGCGTGTCCCCAAAAGTTGTTGGCTCTTTCAGATTGTCATGCAATTTAAAAATAGTCAAAGTAAAAATATTCTGGACAGCGCTGCGCACTTTGAAAATACGAAATAAGATTTATGGTTCACGGTACTTTTAACAGAAAATCATAAAAATCTCAAAAAGCAATCAATCAAAAAAATTATGAATTAAAGGATTGTCAGCATGGAAAAAATCAGGAGGCTATGGTTTTTCGAAAGACTTATATATTTGTAAGCTAAAATATTGTTTTAGAATTCCAAATTTAAAATGCCTCCCAAGGGACAGGGTAAAAAGAAAAAGGAGGTGGACTGGGCCGACGATGAGCATTTCACCAAGGAGCGTTCGATGATCTACATCGAGCATACGTACGAGTGTCCCATTTTCCAGACAAAGGCCGACGAGTGTGGTGTGTTCCTGCAGCAGAGGATTCCGGAGCGCAAGTTCCAGCTGGTGAAGAACAGGTATGGTCATCAGGTTCCCCGGGAAGGAGCCTTCGAGATATTGTTCTCCCAGAATGCCCGCACCTCCACGCATCTTTTGTGGTCCGGCTTGGATCGGGGTCCTCCGCGTCAGGACAAGTTCCCCATGGACTATGAACTGCTCGTTCCGGATGTGAACAGGATACTCAAGAAATTCTATCCCGACAAGGCGGTGGGCGTGCTCGACGAGGATGAAGAGGAAGAGATGGAGGAGCTGTAGACAATTGCAATATTTTTTCCAAAATTGTTATTAAGTCTTTACCATAACAATGGCCAATATAAGGCGTGAAAAGTAAACAATCAGCCAGAGAAGACCTGTTGGGGAAACTTTGAGACGTCATCCACCCACGTTAAATGCTCGGCGATTAGTGCGATTCTTGTTTGGCTTTTGTGCGGAATATTGCTCTCATTGTTTGTTGCCCCCTCAACTGACGTCCTGACATCACAATTTGACAGCTCTTTTCAAAAGTTAAATGCTTAAATCGACCAGAATAATTAACCAAATACAATACAACTCGCACATCAGCAGTCAACCGAGATGTGCGATGTGCATATATATCCCCATATTTATATATATATCCAGCACACCCCGGGGACATTAGCGACGTCCTATTGTCTGCCAGAGAAATCAAAGCGACGGAATCGGGGGATGTTGTGGGTGACACTATCTCGTTTGCTTGGTGTTGACACAACAAATAACCGAACACACAATTTCAATGCACACAATCGAAAAAGAATAATCCAAACATTTTAAATTGAAAGTTGAATTTGAAACAATAGATAGATAGATTTGCAAGTTATATCCTGAATACTCTAATACAAGTTTTTGCAACTGTAATTCCTAAAATTCAATTTCAGGTTTTAAAACATGATTAATTTATTTATTTTTAAATTAGTTATACGGTGACAGATCTGTCAACAAAACTATTACCATTTTGGTGCATGTTGGTTAAAAGTTTTTAAAGTTTGCATAAAGCACAAGTTACATAACTGACATAAAATAGTAAATAAATCCTTGCTCACTGGTAAAACTATTTGGTTTAGTACTTGCCTGGGTAAAAACACACGATTCACCCTTTGCCAGTGTATTTACCCTAAAAAAAGAGCACTGAAAACCCACATCCATTGCGGATGAATTTGAAAATTGCAATGTGGCAGCAGGACAATGGGCAGCAAGTTAGGAAAGTGCCTGGAAATAAATAAATTGGGAAACCGAAATAACATCGACTGAGGGCAACTGAATATTTCTCCATTGCGAACTGGGGAGGGGGAAGTGGTGGGGTGGAAAAGCCAACAAGTCGTGAAAATCCAAAGCAAATTACATTGTGGCCAACAGCAATGACAATAACAAATACCATACAGCTGGGGGCTAGTTGGCCCTTGGGTCTAATACAATTCCTATTCCCATTCCTATTCCTATTCCTATTGCAGCATTAAAACTACGAGGGCAGTGAAAACAACTGGACTGGGTTATCCTTTCTGATGATTATGTGTGTGCAAATGCAAAACTATGGCTCTGCGGACTCTGGCCAGAGTTTTCCTTTGCTCCGGATCAACATGCAAATTAGTCTGGCTTGCAGATGGTTTTTTGATTGACTGTTATGGTGGCTGACTTCCAGCCATGTTTTTGACGGAGTGCAGGGGCTAATTTGAATATCACGTATACGTCATGTTCACCAGGGAACTACAGGGCCCGTTTTTTTTGTTTTTGTTCTTGACCGGCAGACAAAGGCGATGATTAAGCCAACTGTTTAACATATTTAGCAACATCCGTGCACGGCGCACACCATTAATATTAATATAAAGGCTGTAAAAAATGGCGGGGCAGGCCAAAAAGCGGCCAAAAATAACAAAAAACTGAAAATGTTCCCGCGGCATTCCGATGATTTCAACAGATTTTATGCGACCGGCACAAAGAGATGTCAGCGGAACATTTCTCGTGTCACAATTTATTTCGGGGGCAGCCAGCGTCTGGGGAAGTGGGTTAATGTCCAGCCCAGAGAATGGCCATGGATATGCAGCCCCGATCTCTGGAGGTGGAAGTGGATCTTGGCCCTGCCTGCATGTGTCAGCTGTCACTGGGATATCGAAGGGGAAACCACACGCCAAGGACAAGCCAGGATTGCCAGGACGATTGCCAAAAAGGCGAGTAAAAGGAGCTTTAATGGAAACAGACCGCAACATTTTGCATTAGAATGCGAGTGCGATTCCCGGCCAAAAGTGGAGTGGGAGTGGGTGTTGTTTGGCCCGTTGGCCAAAACCCGTTTGGCAATGCCAGCCAATGCCGTCCTGATGTAAAAATAATCTACGCAGGCAGAGAGCAATGGAAACAAACAAACTGAAATGTTGTGTTATTTTTGAGTTGCAATCCAAGGGACGGAGCATCTCGTTTCCGTTTGCTGGAGTTCCATTCAGGGCACGTTCGGTATGCTATCTTTAACTCTATCTATCCAATATCCAATATCACATATCCCATATTCCCTATGCCATATGCCATATCCCTTACCCATTGATTATCCATGGGGGTGCAACAAATTGCAGCCGGATTTAAGGGCCATTTATTTAGCGGCGATGCGAAGGCGAATGGCAAATGCCAGAAGCTGCCATTTTAGGCTTTGGCATTTGTTTTATAGCGCCTAGTCGAGGTCGTATGGTATGTGGTATGTGGTATGTGAACGGTGTTAACCGGGCCAAATCCGCTTTTAATGAGCCAGCTGGATTGGCCTTTGGCTGATTGCACGCTTAACTGGCTTGCAGATTGCATTTGTCACACCTTAATTAACCAGCCGCGGATGCGAGGAAAGGTCAGGCGTCTTCCTTTCTTTTTTTTTTGTGGCCTCCTGAACTTTAACCTATTTCCCTTGGGAGCGGCGTTTTATTTACATGCGTGGCGGCCATAAAAGGTTCGGTTTCCCCCACTTTCTGCCCCAAAGAAGATGATGATTTCTTCGTGGCAAAAGCGGAGAGTGAGGAACCAGCTAATTAAGCGTAAATTGTCAGCCACAAAATAGGGTTCCGCGCATACTCCATCAAACGGTTCTGTCCACCACCCACCAACCAACAACCTTGGCGCCACCCACCCTGTTTCTTTTCTTATTATTAACATGAAATTAGTTTTCGGCTAACGCTAATTAAAATTTACGACACCTGTTTTCTTCACAAAATATTTACGCTAAAACTCCCAACAGATCCTGGGAGCTTTGCAGCCACCGACATTAAAACGCTTAATCACAGGATCAAAATGCTAAGGTAAACAAAAATAATATTTTTCAATCTTTAAATTTTGCCATGTAATTTTAAGAATGCTTTAAACAAAAGATAGGTTAAGTTAATACTAGCAATATTATTCGTTTAAAAGTATCAATATTTTTGAATGGAAAAAAATTGCTTATTCAAAGAAAATAAATAAGAATATCTAATTAATTATTGATAAATCGAGCTATTCTTACATTAAACAAGAAAAATCGATTTAAACTCGTTAGTTTTTATTAATGTCCTCGTAAAAATATAATACAACTTTGAAATGTTATACCTCGTTAAACTCGTTGTTAAATTCCCAATCAAATTTTTACCGATTTTCGGTGAATAACCCCCTACAAAAAATCAAAAATCGGTCAAAAAATAAATTTCAATGCGGCCCACAAACGTCTGGCCATGAAAATTGCCTGAGTATCCGTATACCCCCTTCCGAAGTCTATAAATAATGAAAGGCACGGAATTCGTAATTGCTGTAAGAAATGATCTGAAATGCACAAAGCAAATTTTACCTGATGCTGGATATATAATTGCTTTTCCCATTGCCACAATTGGCTGGGCATTCCAAATGAGTGCAAATAAAACATTGAACTTTTTATACTGACTGAGGCTTCGTTTTTATTTAATTTTACATATACTTCTGTTGCTGTCATATGTATATATATAATCTCATAAATTAGTTTGTTGTGTATATATATAGAGATTTTTGTTGGTAATACATTTTTTCCTTATGCCGCAAACGCATATAATTAAATTTCAATATTAATAATGGTATTGTTGTTTTTTTTTTTTGGTTTCTATTTGTTTTGGGGTTTTTCGCTTGAACTCGAATCCAGTTTTTTTGGTTCACCAGTTGGAAATATATATCTGCTATGTACCTATATGTATTTAGACTCGTAGGCAAACTGAAGTAGGTTTAATTTATAACCATACACATGTACACATCTATATATCTGGTAGTTCTTGCCGGAGTCGCAGTTGTCATTCTATATGGCGCACCACCCGCATCCTCCTAGCACATACTGTATACTTTTCATTTACATTATACATTTATAACCATAATAATTTACAAGTTAAATGGCTTAGAAATTATTAGTAGGACTTCCTGCGTGGGCTACCATACTTCGTACATAATACATAAAACACTTTCTAATTAAAGTTAAAAACATCCTCCATTTGTGGCCTCCGCTTAATTTCCATCTTGCTCTTTTCGTCCTATTTTCCTCTGTTTGTGTTCGGTTTGGTCTATTTACATAGTGACAATTTCTAAATTACTTAGACTTCGTTATAGCCTTCCACTTTGTTCTGTATTTACATTGCATATCGATTGAATAAAATGTTTCGCAGACTTTTCTTGACTTTTGGTTTAAGTTAACATAAGAACGTTAAAGGAAAATCCCTCTCCAGGTTGTTAGGTATATATTTTTTGTTTAACATTTAAGAACTAATTTAGTTAAAATACGTTTAATTTTAGTTTAAACTGGGCGTTCCATTTGGTGCATTTAAAAATAGTGCAAAAATACATTTGTCAAAAATTTTGGTGCATACTTTGAGGCGGTGCTATATAATCACAACATTTACAATTTAAGTGCATTTGCTTGTCCGAGTGTGTGTGTGTGTGTCAGTGTGTGAGTGTGTGCGTGCGCGGGTGTGGGCGGGGTTAGGGGGTAGGGGGGGTGTTGTGTACAGATAGTTTAGACCTAATTTAACTTTAGAGTCGAACTCATCGGCCTCCTTGAGTGCTTTTGTGGAGATTCCGCTCAAAAGTGTCAATTGAGGACGGATTGCTTTTAAGCCTTGATTGTGTGCATGTTTAAGGGAATGTATGTCCGAGTTGCTGACCATCGAAACTCTCGGATGCCGGAACTACCTCCTCCTCCTCCACATACATTTCGATTTGCATTAAGGTACTTGTGACTACTTATGTTTATAGCTCGAAAATATTCTTTTGATTCCATTTAAAACTGGCCATACCTGATGATTGGGATTGGGACTGCTCCCTGTGCGTCCAAAGCTAAACGAGGGTGTACGTGTACTGCTGTCTGAAATTCAGGATCTTCAGGATCTTGGTGCCGTGGAAGACTGATCTGCTTGCCCGACCAACCACTCTCTCGAGGTTAATGCCCCCCAAGATAATCTTGGTTAACTCTTCGTTCGGAATATCTCATTTTTGTGCTGATTTGTGCAATTACTACAACAACGATGCACATAAAATATAATCACTAATTAATCAGGCTCTAATACGAATTCAGGTGTCCTTGTTTTCATCATAATTTTTAGGTAAGTGCAATTGTGGTGCATTTCAATACATATAATTCATGTTTTTCCGTTTTGATTTGGTATAATTATTTATCACATAAAATGTGCAACAGTGCAAAATTGTTTATGCTAATTGTTTGTCATAATTTCTCTCGCTAATTGTTTCAATTGAACATAATTTATTGGAGCTGGCGACAGTGTGTGTGTGTAGGTTGTTGTGGAATTTTAATGAATTGCATAAATACTTAATGGTTTCATTTAAGGTTAAAACAATAATATATGCTTGGCGGAAAGTAATTGCAATGAATTAGGTGATTGTTTGGAAAGAGTTATTAATGAAATTTTAGAACCAAATAAGCAGAAAGTTGTAAAGAAAATTAAAACAATTGGCTGAAAATAACTAAATGTTTTTGTATTAAAAACAGACTGAATCCCTTTAACTGGCCAACTAGTCCTAAATGCTCTTAAATTCTGAAAAATACTCAAAGCTCTTCACTTTCAAATTGACTTGTCTTGGTCAAATTGCATTTACAAACAATTTATTTTCGGCAATTTGCATACAAAACCTTGCAACAACGTACAGGCAGATTGGTTTTCATTTGTTCTTGCATTTTTCTTTGGATTGTTTTTGAACAGAGAGTTCTTCAACTAACTTTAAGTGGTCGGCGATAATTGTTTACCTGTGAGCGGAATAAAAGTGGCATCGAATTGCATCAGTGGCTCTGGTTGTTTTCGCATTGAGTGCGGCTTTTTGTGGCATAGTCATAAAAAGCTAGCCCGAATCAATGGCTACAACACCTGATGCCCATTGAAGGTCACTTTAGGTCCAAGTCTGTTAGTTGCTGTGGCTTGTTAAAGTTTCTCGTTGTTTCAGCTTTGTATGCAGCCTCCAATGCTTCAATAAATTGTTTTCTTACACAAACTTTTCAACGTTCTTTCAGGTGCAATCTTAGATCTTACTAAACACGGATCTACATCAAATACATATAATTATCTTGTTGAATAGTATGTTTTCAAGCGATGGCTAACACTTTTGTGCTCAGCAAAAGCAGCAAGTTTATATAATTACCTCTGCGGGTCTACTCCTAATTTAACTAACATTTATATTTTATACGTGGATAATAGTCATTAAAATATTTTTCTTATTTTGTCTCATTCGCTGACCGCTTTTTATAGCTTTGTCAATTTCTAAATCTCAATACCGAAAATATGTATTTCGCAAAATTTCCATCCGTGTTTTTTCGCAAACATTTGACATTTACTTCCATTAAAGTTGACATTTGTGCTGTGACTTATTTTTTCTGTATCTTACGTGGGGAATAATGTAGAAGTAAAGCTATTTTCTAGAACTTGTTAAAAAGTTTGTCTGACCGCCAAGTGAAGAGCTCTATGTGGCCAAAGGACTTGAGCACTTAAGGGCGCCCGCTGTAACTTACCAAAAGGCATTCAACAATCAACAAGGATCCAAGGATTCCTGGGATAATCTCAAACTTCAGGTTCAGGTGTTCTTCTCAACAAAAAATGTGTTTAGTTTGCCACAACTAAGAGTTGAAGTATGAACTCAAAAAGGTAAATATGTGCACTATTGTTTTAGATCCATGAGAAACTCATAAGATGGTATTTAATCGCCTGCATATGTGTGTTTAACTTACTTGTTGTGTGTGTTGTCTGGTGTCGTTGTTGTTGTTTTTGTTTTTGTGGAGAGGAAATTATATATAGTATATATAGTAAAGTATTCTGGAATTGTGAGAGTAACGAAGTGAAAATCAGAAATGCATGTTTGGGTTTCGTTTTCAGTGTATATTAAGTTGTGTATTTGTTTTTCATTTTTTCTTTGTTTTTTTTTTTGTGTATTTTCTTGTTTTTTTTTCTGCATTATCATATATTCGTATAATATATAATTAATTATTATAAGTAGTTAAGAAAACTGTGGTTAAATTAAAAGGGAGAATTATGCTAAAACTAGACCTCGTTCACCAGTGAAATTAGTGTGAGAAAGATAGAGACAGATACAGCGAGATCAAAAAAGAGGGAGGCGAAAATTATTTACAGCAAATACTAATTAATAAGAGTTTGGGTAAGACGAAATCAATAGAATTGATAGACCGTGTTTTCTTTCGACAATTTGTGCGAATGGCATTCGGATTGTATGAATGCCATTTGCTACTCATAGTTAATTATATTCTCCATCTTTCTCTTTGATGTTTTGTTTCTAAGTATCTTTTTTCGTCTGCAAATATACAAATACAAATAAATACAAGTTTAGGGGCTGTAGAGGGTACTATATATTCTTATATATATATGTTTATATTTGTATGTGTGTGTGTATGTACCTATGGTTGTGTGTATATGTGTATGTATCTGTTTAACATTCAACAATTGTTTTTTTTTTTTGTTAGCTTTATAATCTGTATTTGCCCTTTTTCGATTTTTCCTTGCTAATTTGCCTCCTCTCTTTACGTGGTATTCAAAAAATAAATTTAAAACTAAATACTCTACAATTGTAAAACCTTTAAAATTAAAAAAAGGACTTTTCCACTAATTTAGACGTAATATGTTTATTTACAAATTGTTGTTTTATACACAATACTGTTTGCTGTGAGAGCGTGCAAGACGCAAAGGCTTAATTAGAAAAATAATCTATTTTTGAAATAGGCTGAAAATTAAGGAAATTAAACGAAAATGTATAGGAAAGATATTTGAAATATTATTTAACGATCTTCGTTAGTACTTTGTTCAATTAGAACCTAAAATCAATTGGGGAATTTACTTTTCTTTTTGGTTATTTACAGTCGAACTTATGTCTTTTCATTTGGGTATGTCCTTATAGAAGTTGTCGTTTTGCTTTTAAAATTTCGTTCTTGTTTTTGTTAGGATTATAGAAAAATAGGCCAAAAATATATGTATTTGTATGTCTGTGTATGTGTGTTTTTCTATACCTTTACCTCAATTGTCGTTCGTTCAAAAAATGTGATCAAAACTTTTGTTCGTCTTTGATTTGTTTTCGGGTTTTGTCCTCTGGTTGTAGTTTTTTTAGTGTGCATTTGTTCTTCTTGTTTGGATTTTCGATTTGTGCATAATTTCAAGGATTACAATTAATTGCATATACATACATTATTCGTATTCGTTATGGTAGTTATCTTTTACTTAGAGTTATACACACGTTGTCTTGCGTTTAGTATTTTCGTATGGTATAGAAATTGTTATTATTAATTTACTTTCATTTATATTTAAAGGTGGGTTATTTTGCAGTTATTTATGTAAATGTTTTACTGAATCAATCAATTAAAAGAAAACTCCAAGGTCGTCTCCTATTTATACTTTTCGGTTAATAACGAAGATCGTTGATATAGGAGGGCAGGAGGTTGGGGATCGATGTGAAATAAAAACTTATTCGTAAACGTATTCTCAATTAGATTTACATAATTTGTTTGCAATTTTTTATACGTACTGTGTATAAGATATGAAATTTTATTGCTCGCAATTTCATATGTTATTCCGTTTCAAATAATTAAACATGTTTGGGATCTCACACAAAACGATTAAGTAACATGCATACTTTGGACCGAATGAAATGAACAAAAATAATCGATTGATTGCGATTCCATGAAGTCAAGCGTTGTTAAAATATGCATCTTATGTGTCTGGTAAAATGAAAAACGAAAATCGAACTCGAAATGCAAAAGGAAAACGCAGGAAATGCAATGCGTGAAAATCGCTTAAGAGGGTACTCGATATTATTGTTAATTTGCCATTTATTTTCTCGCGCTTATCTTTCCATTGTTATTTGTTTGCATACACAACCGTTTAAAAATTTTAATTCGTAAATTCCGGCTTAAAAATTTGCTTGATTGTATTTCTTAATTGATTGATTGTGTTGGGAACTCGCCCCCTTTACAGGCATAATAATAGCGAATAATTTTCAATGACCAGAACATTATTGGCTTAAGGTTGAATTTTTTGCGTTTCCAATTGAAAGAACAGCGAGAATTAAAACATAGAAAATGAGTAGGATAAAAAAGAACTGTGATTTGGATAAAAGGTCGAGACTGGATTAGTTTTAGTTAGCATTTTTACAAGCTTTTCGTTTTGCTTATAAGCTTATCTTTTTTATGTATATTTATAAGTCCATTGTTATTTAAATATACTTTAATTATGTAAATAAATTTACTTAACTACAGATAGCTGCCATTTCCGTGAGAACTGTTGTCACTCATGAACGAAATTAAAATGTCTGGTGGAGTTGGTATAAATCTTTACAGGCAAATAAAAATGATTATTGAAAGTATTATTTACACACGTGAAGAAAATAAAGACGGAGCAAATCATTTGTAATGGCGAACGTAGTTTTAATAATGAGAAAACTTTAAACCAAAAGCATTAACGATTATAAGCCTCAACTATCGAACAAAACTGGGTTTTTCATGAAGTCAAGTCTTTTTCTTTATGTAAATGTTTTGCTTCATCTTCTAAGTTGTAAATGTTTGTTTTTGTCGCTAATCTTGCTGTTATTGCATTGTATATAAGTATATTATATTGCACTCATTAGCTTGTTCAGTTATCAGCAATAAAACCTAATGCAATATTTTCCTTCAATTGTATATTTGTTTGTTATTGGTATATGTATACTATTAATATATATTTAATGTCTGTTTTTTCTGTGTATATGTATATATAATTTCATTCTTCTTCTGCTTGCTTGCCTCATCATGTTTTTATCGCTTTTTTTCTGCTTGCTTCGTTTTGATTTTATTTCTTTTGGTTTATTTAACATTTAAACTTTAATACACGTATAATTAAATAATGTACACGAAATATATTTCATATAGTAAGATATATTTATAATATATTTATTTAATATATACTAAAAATAGTTAGGCCCAATTTTGTTATTCCTCATTATTCTTTCTGTTCCTGCGAAACAAATTTCAAATGAACGAAAAAAACGTTTTCGATTTTGTCTTATTTTTTGTTGTTCTTTTTTTTCTGTTGAATTATAATTTAGCTTTAATATGTATAACTGCATTTTGTTCTTGGGCTTTCATTAAGTTAATTTTTAATAATAATAGTGTAATAATAATCATACCTTTTCATTAAGCATAATTGCTGCCTCATTTTGTTTTTAATCATAGCTTTCTGTTCTTTTACTTGGCAATCCATTCAGCTTTTTGCAAGCTGCATTTTGTATTTTTTGTTTTGTTTGAGTCGGTTTCTGTTTTTCTTGGAATTTTCTTGAGAATTTTCTTGGGAATTTTTTAATCTCTTGTCAAAGGACAGGCGGGTGGTTGGCTTGTCTGTGTGTGTGTTTTATTCTTGAGTAATGTTTAAACTTAATAGGGTTTTTTTTTGCTTCTCTTGGGACACGTTAAAACTAATTTTTTGTCATTAATGTTTAAAGTGAGTTCTCTAGGTGTATTTGTGTGTGTGGTGTGTGTGTGTGTGTGTGTGTGTGGACTGTGTGCGTGTGCTTAGAGAGGGTGTGTATCTGTGTGTGGTTGGTGGGTGGACAGAGCTTAACGCCCTCGCGCCCAGCGCAGTAACGCATCCGCTAACACATCCAAGTGAGCCTTCGTCTGCAAAGAGCCGGAAAAGAAGGGGAAAAAACACAAAATGAAATTATGACATCAAGTATACGCCGCGTGGGCGCACGTTCAACTCACCGTCTTGTAGAACATGCAGGATCTCCGGTCCTCATCCTCGCCATCGGGACAGTCGATGAAGCCATCGCACAGCACATGATCGTCTATGCAGCGGTATCTGCCCTGCCGGTCGGGAATCGGGCAGGCGAACCGCTCCATGCCATCCATGGCGGTTGGACACTCTGCAAGGAGAACGCAAACAAAAACGGGTGACAGTCAGTCAAAATGGCTTTCGCATTGGCAAGAGTTAAGCAGTGGGTAGCCCAGGTAAGAAGCCCCCAAACTTTTCCCATAAATCGTTCAGTGAAAAACTTTTGCACACGCTAATGTCTGCCATGATTTGCGTCTAAATGTTGCAACTTGCGAAACCAGCGCATAGAAGTATGCTATGGATTTTCCACCCCAACTGCATTTGTTTGTGTGGCCGCTTAGCAGGTTTTTGCTGTTATAAATAGTTTCACATTCGCTACTTTACTACTTTCTGCGGCTGATTCGCTGGAGGAGAGTAATGGGGGGGGGAGGGGGGGTTGTGCTGAGGGAAATCCAGGCTTGGCTGGCTTCGCCTGCACCGACGCCGCCGCCACCGCCGGCGAACAACAAAAACAAACTGAAATACAAACTTTACTTTTTGTGGCATTTCACTTTGTGCTCGCCTTTTCTCCATTCTCGTTTGCCATTTCTTTTTTCGTCTTTTTTTTCGCTGCCTTCTACCAACAAATACATAAAAATAAATCACTTGTAGGACATGTTGGCGCCTCCGGTTTAGTTTTGCTGCCACATATGTGTGTGTGAGTGTGTGTGTGTGTGCCGGTTGCATGTTTGTGTATTGGGATCTGCTGTTCAAGTTGTCCGTATAGGTTTTCCCACCACCACCACCACCACCCACTTTCCCTAGCTTACCCTTTCCCCGAATTTCCCCAATTGCCATTTCCGCCATGAGCCTTGCTCTTGCAAAACTTTCCTGTGCTATTTTTGGCTGCATCCAAAATTATTCTGTTCTGTTCTGTTCTGTTCTGGTTTTTGCCACGCGACCAGCTTTGCCACTTAATATTTCTGTGTTTTATTTTTCTTTATCCGGGAAATGAATATCACTTGGCAAGCCTACAAGTATTTAATTAGTAGGTGTTCAAAGCTTCGCTTAAAGAGGATTAGGATTTAATTAACTATCACTATCTGGTAACCGCCTAAAAACTTTCTCATCGTTTTAAAACTATCACATTTTCTATGTTTCTTTATCTGGTTTATATTAAATATATATAAGGGATGTTGAGACCAAACTCTCTGTCCTTTTGACAGCAAAACCAATCAAAAAGTGTATATATTTGTTATAAGCATAACATTCTTGGTTAATCAAATGGGGTGTTTCATTAGCCACTGTTGTCAGCTCACTTAAAAATAATTTTATTTTCTCTGCACACGCTCCAGTCGTGTCAAGTGCATTCCATTCATTAAGTTGATCCGTCTGCCCGAAACTAACATAAGTGCTGTCAGCTGTCCTTCAGCACTTGTCGTGTGTATTTTTCAGGTGTGTGCCGTTGCAATTGCAAATGCAAAATCACCTGACAAAGCATAAATGTGTGCAACGGCAGTGCCAGAAACCCGACACTCGACTGTTTGTGTCTCCCAGTTGGGATTCATCTACGGGGGGGAAAATACAACTTCCCCGTTTCAACGGAATGTTGTTCGGCTGTCAGCAAGGAATCAATTGATGTCTCTTTCTCCGCCGCCAGCTGCAAGTTCGCTTCGTTAGACACCTGGCTTTCCCTGGCTTTTCCTGGCTTTCGACTCCAACTGCGTGGCGTGCCAAAGAGCCATTTGCATTCTGAAGAGCACCCACATCTACTGCGGCACATTGGTTACGACTACGGCTACGGTTACAGTTACGCTTATGATGAAGATGATGATGGCGATGATGATTCAGGTAATGGTGAATGGTGAACGGCGATGACTATGTCGCCGCGCCACAGGCGCTTTCCTCGATTGCCATTTATCAACTTCGTTGGACGCCGCATAATTGCATCAATGGACACTTGGGCACGTTTTAACTTTCGTGGTGGGGGGTGGCATAAGGAGGGTGGTATGGTCAAAGTACGCAGATTTATGCAGATTTCTGCATACATTACGCATACGCAGTGCTGCCGCGCAACCAAAAATCCCATTAGTTTTATTGCCAAAGAAGGAGCTGCTGTGATATGCTGTTGTTACTGCAACCCACATTTTGTACTTTGAACTTAATTTTACACACAAACAACTTGCAAATTGTTGCAACGTTGTAAAGTTGAAGGGAATTTTGGTCGCATTTGCTAAGTTGCTCTTTTTTGGGCCAAGTCAGCCAAGTTCCTTCCACCCTACTGCACCACCCTCCGAATCCAACGAATCGTACGGATCCACCGAACCCACTGAACCCACTCACCCACTCAGTCAGTCAGTTAGCTAGCTGCTGAGGCTATTGAACTTTAAATTGATTTTTGCGCTTGTTTGCTAGTTTTGCTCGTCTCCTCTCTCCGTTCGGGTGGCTCGAATTGCAGCTAACCGGTGGGTGGAAGTGGAAGTGGAAGTGGCAGTGGGTCTGCTTTGCTGCTGGTTCTGGTTCTAGTTCTTCTCCTGCTTCTGGTGGTGCCTCTGACTCTGACTCTGATTCTGCCTCTGGTGGTGCTTATCAATGTTGCAATAAATCGAAATAAGTGACGCCACCTACAATTCCGCCTTGGAATAGAGTGAATGGCATACTTTCTGATGGACGGGCCAAATTAAGGTGCTCTGTTTTATATATATTATTGAACGATAAACAATCAAACCTCCATAACTGTGTCACATTGAGTATTCGTGCAGAAATAACTTGAAATAATCATATTTTCCTTATTGAATGCAACCAATGGAATTTGAAGCTTGAAAAGTAGGTACTTTTAAAAATAAAGAGGTGCACAGAAGTTTTGTGATAAAGCTTTCAATCATGTATCGAAATGAAGGCTGATGAAATAATTATAATTGGTTTATTTTCATGGAATTTAAATCCACCTTTTTAAAATTCCATTCAATGAATTAAAGTGATTTCGCTATTATAATTAAATTAACCAGGCTAAACTTCTTCACTTTACATTAGTCGAGCCATTTCATTTAAACAAAATACTAACTGCACAATTTATATTCCATTCCTCATACTTTCATCCCAAAAACTACAAAAAATTAGTTGCAAACGATGGAACTATAAAAAGAAATACTCGCACAGCTTATTCAAAATGCAAAACAACATCGCAGATAGATATAATCACATGTCAACAATATCCACTTGAAATATCCGATGGAAATTGTGAAACTTCTTGTGACATTCGAGTGCATCTCTCGGTATGCAAATCACCATCGCAGGAGGCAACTGTACCCAAAGTTTCAGCATTTCAGCCATTCCAAGCTTAAGAGAATCAACGCATGTTGACACTAAGACACCCGGGAACCAGCAACAACAATGATGGCTAACAAGCCACAAGAACAACAACACGTCGGGTGTCAAAAAATCAAAAGCATAAAAAGGATTTGGCTGTTGCCAAGCCAAGGAGCAATAGCTATGGCGATGGCGATGGCGATGGCTATGGCAATGGCTATATACTCGGGGGATGGGGGCCGAAACTCGGTTCAGCCAAAAAGTGCCAACTGATGCTATTTTCGTCGCACGACAGACGTATACGTATACGCGGCGTATACGTAATGCAGGAGCAGTGAGCTTCGCGTGGAGTTCGTGGCGAAAAATAAGTCGCAAAAATTTGTAACAAAGTTCGCGTAGTGAGAAAACCTTTTGCTCCCACACATACACATAGAGAAAAAAATGGAAGAAGCTGGAGATGAGGAGAAAAATACATGGTGGAGATGGAGAGCTGCAAACGCCTGTTGTCTCGTCAGTGTGGCGCCTAAAAGGCTGCCAACAATAATAACAAAACCCACGAAAAGAGAGCAAGCTGCACACAGATGCAGTCTGTGTGTACGACTGTATATGTGTGTGTGTGCGGGCGTCAGTGTGCAGGAAGCGCCAGCCAAAGGAAACAGCGCGCAACGATTTTGCAGCAATAAATTGATAGTTTTATGTGGCGCACATAAACAGGAGCGGGCAGCAAAGAATCGAATAATGGTGGGTGGCAAGTCCTGGGACATTAAACTCGCCTCCTTACTTACACCCACTCTTTCCCCCCCCCACTCCTCCTCCATTTTTCGGCAGTAAATAGCAAAAGACAATGCATAAAACAAAAGGCTGAGCAAATTTATAAATGACAACTTCAAAATTGATGGGCATTTCCCATTTTGCGACCCTTCCATTGATTCTCTTCCATTCCCGGCAATTTGTCGTGCTGAAAATTTCACTTTTTGGGCCCAAGTTATGCATACAGCAAAGCGTCTCTGGCACATTTCTCTCCTCTATATGTGTGGCATTGTCCCTCATCAACAGCGAATTCACTGTTTGTCAAGTTTCAACACGGAAGGCTGGACGGCTGGCTAGTGGCAGCAACAAATTGAGGTGTTCCCCGAATAAAATAAGACGCTGCTGTCATAATTTGTTCGCCTTTTTTCCTTTTCCATGGCCGTAATAAGGTTTTGATTAAATTTGCTGCTCGAATGTATTTGCCCGGCGAAAATCTTCTGTTCTGCTGTCTATTATTTTAGGACTTCTGTTGCCGGGGATCGTCTTTCTTCGGCTTTTTGGGTTTCTTTTTTCGGTCCGCAGGTTTTTTGGCAGGTTCCAGCATCTAGACTCGCTTCAATTAATTTAACATATTTTGTTTTTTTTTTGTGTCCACACCCACGCACGTACGTACGCACAACAAATGGCCGGAGGTTAGCTTTCCTTCACTTTGTTTTTCTTTTTTTGCCGCTTTGTTTTGCTTGGCAGGGCGTAAAAAATACGCTATATAGAGAGCAGTAACGTAAACAGCCGCCAGGTGTCGCGTTGGTGGTGTGCCCTCAAGGCACATTTTGTTTTCGGATCGCATTTATTGTAATTTAATAAGCCCGATTCTATGTTTTCACATCCGCATCCCCATACTGTCATCCACATCCAGATCCAACGAAATGTGATGTGACTACGCTGCCTGCAAGCTAATTGCCTGTTCCGCCCTCTGCATGTTGGCCGAAAAGCATTTTGCCGTCACTTCATATTCATAGCTGATAAATCACACCGACTCGCCCACTGGCAGGC